TTTAATTCTGCTGAAGTTCGAGGTGCTAAGGCATCAAGGTAAGTCTGTTAAAAAATACTATTCTAAATGAAAATAAGTATTTATTCTCTATTAAATATAATTAATAATTATTTCATTAATCATAAGAATTAATAAAATGTTATTAAAACATTATAAAAAACCAAAATAACATATACTTTAAAAATTTAAATGTAGTCTGATACAGAACCTAGAATGTTTTAAAATTATAAAAATATCTATTAATTGAATTCCAATTATTAGACAAACATACATATAGATTTACTATTTAATCGCTTTGAATTATCAATTAAAAATTTTTATGCTACGATTCTAAAGGTAATGATTTGGAGCCCAGGTAAAAAAAATAATTACTGAACTATACTTATTCGATTTATACACTTAGATAAATAATAATGAATAACAATATTATTATGAATACTTACATCGAAATGTTCTTCACAACAAAACAAAAAATGATTTTGTTTTTTGAATAATCCCGGTGCACCGCTTGAAACCATTTCTTTCGACGTTTTTCGTCTTGTGGAACATTTAAAAACATTTTTTGAGGAGTTGTTTTTGTAGTATTTGTACATAATTGTACAAAACAAGAGCGATAATAACTTTTGAGTTTTGACATTTTTGATTATTTAACAATGCCAACAGAATTTACTAGATAAAAACTCAAAACTCTGTACTAATTATTATATCTCTGTATGCTACAATGAGCAAAAACTAACATTGTGACGTCACACGCGCTCGGGTTTATTCGCGAGCTGTCGGCGGATCTTCGGTACTGAATTTAAAATTTAATTTTTATTTTGAAATAACTTTTTAATTATTGCAAAAAACATAAAATTAAAATCGTTTTGTTATAAAACTTATATATGATCTTTCCATTTATCACAAAAAAAAAATTAATTCAAAAACCCAATTAGAAATATTCTTGTCATTCAAATATTAATTGTTACCAGTATGTTCTTTTCATGTTGTTGAAGAATGTCTTCAGGTATTTGTTCAAAATAAATCCTTTTGTTTCTTGTAAGTACAATTTGATGATTAAACACTTACGGCTTATTGATATATGGTACTGATGTTAGAATAAAGAATGAAATCTGTAATTATTTTGTATATGTAACACGAAAACTGTTACATTCTTCACAAGCCTATCAAGTTATCTTTCTGTAATATTACATAAATAAACCTATTTTATAACTTTACAGACAACAAAAATAAAAAAATATATTAATTGTGTAATACGATCATTTCTAACAAAAATCATGTGCCATATATTGATAGTTACATTTAAATAAATGTGTATATGATTGAATGAAAAATGCATTTCTAAAAGTCGGAATCAATCTGTCTTCTATTCATATATCGCGTACCAATCGCTCCGCTATTCATTAGAAAATACATTTTTGCATGTGGAAAAATTGCCTTAAATTGTCACCAAAACAGACTGCTAAAGGACACCAGTGTCAGGTGAAGTTGCTAAGTACTTAATAAATAACATCTCAGCTGAGAAAATATGAGGCAAGGAAGATTAAGACTGACATATTTGATTTTATAAAAGAGTTTTAAAAATAACTTTAAATGTATAAAGAGATAAATTTTACCATTAGGTTACTTAGAAGGAAATTATAATTTGGAAAATTATATTTCTTCAAAGATCAGTCGACTTCAAATTATAATATCGCGGTTTATAAAATTAATTAAGAAAAATATTCTTTGTTATGTTTATTACTTAACATAGAAGTCTAAACTATTTTTTTAACCTATTTTTTATAGAATTACAATATTTAAGCCTTATGGTTGGTCGTATATTATATAAATAATACCTACTTATATTTTTTTATGATACAAATAATATCCTATTTTAATTATATCTGTAATTATTACCCATTTATATTAGAATTTACTCACAGCAACGGTAAATAGTACTTCATTATACAGATAATATTAGATAGTAGATCTGAAATGTCAAATATGATATTTAGTATGACACTTTCGACGGTTGAGAATTTGAATTATCGGTTGCAATAACATTATAAATGCTAAAATTATTCCTTTATACATACGATCGGTGGGATCCTCATACGATAGAGGTTTTGCATTTTATTAATATGTAGATTAAAATTGAATAGTAAATAATATGTTTGGTATATACTTACACTACAAAATCAACATTAATGTCTCAAGTTTATTCAGTTAACGATTTCCGAGCTTAGGTTAGGTAAGGTTTCAATGTTAGCCACGTTACGCTTTTTCTTGTAATTGATGATCACCGGAGTAAATTCATGTATGATTAAAGCAATTATATTCTTATATTAGAAAAATCTGTAATTTAAGTAAAATTATTGTTCCGCTGACTATATTGAAGGTTGTTACAACCCTTCTCATATTTCCTGTTAATACTGATTCTTAATCACAAATTTCATTTAGGAAATTACTTGAAAAATTGATATTTTTTATTTAACTGCCAATTCCTTTATAATAATGTTATAAAAAGTGAAAGACGAGGTCAAACCTCTTAGCATTCTATGGATTCACCGTGCGGGTGCCCGATCCATCGTTGCAGGGAGAGGAGCTTTAACAGTGTCTGGGACTCGCGACCCTCTATCCAATGCGAACTAAATGCTCACCTCCACCGTCCAAGTTCTTTTCTCTACCCAATCAAATTTGAAAAGAACCTACTAGGGCTACCTTCGAACTGTTTACAAAAGTAAGGAAATCCAAGTAATCACACCGAGTGACTGAGTTACGTCTTCCATATCCAAATATAATATTTTACCAAATGGCATAAATAAAACTAAAGAACAATGAATGTTAATGTTCATTTTAAAAGTACTATTTATTATCTAAATGTAACTCGCAATTCTCTGTACTATTTTAATCCCACATCCACGTGAATCAAAGTCAATTTATTTTCCCGCATTTCAAACGCTACAGTACAAACTGCATTGTCTTTCAAAGTGAATAACAAAAGCACAAATACTTTTATATAAACAAAGAAATAAATCCAAAGAAATGTTATGAACTCACAAGACGTTAGGATAAAATTAGATTAAATTAATAATGTTTTTTTATAGAAGTATAAATCTTTAATTGTAAATACAGAACTGTGTATCTTCATTTACCATAAAACGTATTCAAGGTACAAAAAGAATTAAGTAACTGACATGTACATACATACATACATACACACACACACACACACACACACACACACACACACACGCGCGCGCACATAAATGCATACAAATAATTACAACATCAGAATTCCATTTATTTTTGTTTTATATTTATATAATCAATTATTAAAAGCTATATACCATAAAGCATACCGTGAAAGACTACTAATGATTATTATTTATTGATTTCTAAATACGAGTATAATATGTGTAATGACTTATTATTTACTTAAAAATAGATTTCTATAAAGAACAAAAAGTATTTAACCTCCCTGATCAATTAATTGAAGAACACTTAATCACCGGATCAATCGGATGAAGTCACGACATCTTTTTCTTTTACTTTTTCTTTTGTTTTCCCTTCCATTTCTCGGTTACTTTTACTTCAACATTTCTTATCTAAAGAATGTAGTAAAAATATGATTTATTTATATATAATTATAATGATATATTTTGATCTTTTCCTGTTTATTATTTACTGTATTTGTTATTAAAATCTTCACTGAACATTACATTACAAAATACTTATAATTTCATAGATTCTAGTCGCGTATATATTATTATGTACCTAATATAGGAAAAAGTATTTTGTAGCAAATGTTTTAATTGTTCCAAAACATTGACATGTAAAGTAGGAAAATTCTTCGTATCTGAAACAATAAACGAATCAACATTTATATCCAAAATTGGCAATAAATTCGTACAAAATTAAATTTTTCAGTAACAACCCCATTTTCATACAAGCTAATTAAGTAAGTAAAACTGTAGTAATTTATTAATTGACTCATCAAAATAATTAGAATATCCTTTTGTACAACATAACCTTTCTTTTCATTTCACCATAATTCTCTGCAGTATTCCATCAAGTCTAAATCAATGAATGCTTGGCTCAGACCAAATGTTTGAAATAACAGCTTAGAGAATTTATAAAGCTGTCCAGATATAACTCGCTTATTGTAAAGTTGAAAATGTATTAGATAAAGCTTAAGCTGTGGTCAATTTATATATTTTATCTGGTTATTTTATATTATTTAATTTTCAACTTTTATTATTATTATAACGGCTATTTTCGTATAATATAACTTTAGGTTTAGACATATGTTTATATTATAAAAATTTTTTTTAAGCTATATACATGAATTTCTTTAGTTATCCTAACCACAAACTTTTAATTGGAATAACTGTATGGAATATTTTATTGAAATTTGAAGTTTTCCATTCATTCTAATAACAATTTAAATTCAAAATAAAAATTTAGTATGAATATTTATGAAAGAATTATTTTTTCTAGCTATATATAAGTGTAAGTATATTGTTGACCATGGATTTGTAGTCATAATACTTGAAAATGCCAAGTTAGAGTAACGATAATGGTTTAACGATAAAATCATCTGTTGCTATCACAAGTCGGAAGATGTTGATGGCTCTGCTTCCCTTTGGTACAGGTTCCACTCGAATAAATAATGATTGTCTGACCAATATACTAAAACAAAGATTTAGAATTAATTGCACTGAAATTGATGAGAGTCTGCTTAAGTTTCTCGGGGAATTGAAACAATTAAATTAATGAGTTACTCCGATGTTGCTTCAAACACACAGGGATTACCTTGTAAATAATTAAATGCTATAAATAAAAGCATAATTATTTTCAATATTTTTTTTATCATTATGAATATGCAAAACATTTCTATCAGTATATTAAAGGTTACCATTTTTTTTATTGCCATTTATTAAATTAATTTTATACAACAGAATATTTAAACTAAAATAATGTTAACATAATTGATGACTTAAATCATTTTGTTACAGGTCGCACCGAATATTATTGAATTTGTTAAATCCCCAGTGAACATAATCGACTGCATTGCCACATTGAGTTTTTACATGGACGTTGTGGTCGAGCTGACTGTGGTTAAAAGAAATTTAGATAAAGCTGACATCCTCGAGTTTATATCCATTATCAAGATCCTGAGGCTATTTAAGCTGACTAGACACAGCCCCGGCTTGAAGATCCTTGTCCACACATTCAAAGCCTCTGCAAAGGAGCTTACCTTGTTGGTTTTCTTTCTTGTTCTTGGCATTGTGATATTTGCCAGTCTAGTATACTATGCTGAGAAGTCTCAGGTAAGCTGGATTTATTTCATATTGTCCCATTGTGGGGCTTTTAATATTGTGTGATAATATTGTTTATTATTTTAATGCATTACATATAATTTTACGTAAACTGAGTAAAGTATGGGAATTAATAGAAAGTTATTCTTGCCAGTAACATAATTTTAAATTCATCAGTCACATTTCATTATTGTAAAGTTTTCTTAATCTCTTACTTTTTGTACTATGCATACATACTCAATTATTTCCCATTAATTGATCCAAAGGCACATGTTGCTTAAGAGCACATGACCGTATTTCTTAAATATACAATTAAAAGATGCCTATCAATAATATAAGAATCTATTCATCATGTGCCGCTTCTGAAATAGTACCCATTAATCTCTTATTACCAAAATAAGTAAACAAGCATGTTTCTAACCACAAAATTCATCAAAATTTACTAAGCATGTAATAAGGAATAAAAAGGTGAATTTAAATTACTAAATCCCACTTGAATATAATCTTTTATATTGGTACAATAACGCACTATGAAGAACTATTTCAGAATCTAATTTTTTAAAGAAATCATAAGTGCCAATTTGATTGTAATTGCATTTTTGCCAGAATTTTTAAATTTTTTATCGAGTCAGCATTGATTGCGCTATAAAGCTTTAAAGTCAAGAATAAGTGGGAACTCCTAGATTTCAATCTGAATAAATAAGTTCAACTTGCAAGCAAAACATGTAACTGTGAAATATTTTAAAGATATTTTTTACTCTTTTGATTTTAATCTCAATGTCAAGTACTTATAGGACTTCTTCATTATTGACTCATCACTAATATATGTATCTGTCTAGAGTAATACAATATTTCAACTATAATTTCATTCCCGAAAACCAATTTAGAAAAGTTAAATAAAGGTGAATGTTCAAGTTTTTTAAGAAAGAATTTACCTTATTTTTTCTTGACTTTATGTTGAGTTCAAAATATAAAAGTCCGAAAACCTTTAAATTTTGTAGGCTGCTTCAATAAACAAAACTTTTGCAGAACGAGTTCATTAAATACAAAGTTCTAAGAAACTTTATTTAGAATTTCGCTAAATTAAATTTTGGTTAGACAGATAAATATCTCAGGTAATTCTTTACACTTCAACTATTATCTTCAAAATCAAACAAGTTATTTATGAATTATAAATTTAATAAGAATATTTATAATACTAAAGTTAAGAAAATTAGAAAAGGTAGTTTCATTATACGGAAATCTTAAAGGTTACCTGGAAAAGTAATATTACTATACATCACTACTATTACTATACATTCGGACTGAAAACTATTTACTATATATATCTTTGAAAGTAATTTTAAATTACTTGTTTGAATATAACTTCATTTGAAGTAAAATGAGTAATTATAATTTAAAGTGAGAAACATCGTAATTATACAAGTTTTTAGGGGCCTCTTACGATTTCGGATTAGTGAATGTAGATTTGAATATAAAAAGTTCTCATTCTCTGGTTAGGTGGTCTTTAGCCGATCAAATTGTGTAAAAAGTCCATATTACATCTTTGTCAAGAGTTTAAGAGAAAACCAATTAATTATTGGCTTTCTTGACTGCGTAAAAAACACAAAGACAACAATTTTCTCTTGTATAACCTTAGACGGATTTTTTACTACCTATTTGTTAAAATATAATGCCTACTTTATCCTAGTAAAAAAGTTTAGTATAAGCAATAGGGTGGGTCACTCTAGTGTGGAAAAAATTAAAAGTTGCCAGATCACATTCTAATAGTAATATTATGTTGTAGTGTACTATAAAAAATATTTTTAGCCTAAAAACGGGCAATCTAACAAATTCCTTCAGCCCGCGCAAGAATTTTGAAAATAATCGATTTTGGAAAAAACACGTATTACTAAATGGGATATTGATTAAAACATTAAACTAAATCCCACTTCAAACGTGTAACTTAAGGTGCAAAAGTGAGTACTTGTACAATTTTTTTCAAAATTTCAGTGGCTTTGCGCGGGCTGTTCCTATTAAAATAATTAGATAATATTTTTAAAGCTTTATAACGATACCTAACTACAACATATTTTTGTTATTAGAAATGAATATCTTAAAAAAAATTTTTTTGACCCACCCTAATAAGCAACTTTTACAAAAACCGATTTCGAATATAGCAACTAAAATAACTTAGTTGAGTTCCATCTACGACCACTTAAATCATGTTCATGTTAGCATAATTAAATTTAATCGTAACATTGTTTAAGCTACGATATAATTGTTTAAATGAAAACACAGATTCGTTTTGTTTAAGGATAATCCAGACAATCAGTTCAAGTCGATTCCCCTTGGTCTCTGGTGGGCGATCGTTACCATGACGACGGTTGGCTATGGTGATATGGCGCCCAAGACTTATTTGGGGATGTTTGTGGGCGCCCTCTGTGCGCTGGCCGGCGTGCTCACTATAGCATTGCCAGTTCCTGTCATTGTATCAAATTTCTCTATGTTCTATTCACATACGCAGGTAAGTTTGTATTTTCTAAATATTTAGGTCCATGCTTAGCGATGAATAACACTGGAAAACAGCATGTCTGTTGCATGAGATTTTTTACATGAATCTGAATAGTTTTTCCACGCTTATTTCAAAAATATATGCCGTTTTTATGTAGCACCTCTAGTTTTGGAGTTATGAAGAGACAGCGTTTTTCATTAAAAATTCACAAAATTTAAGTTTAAAAAATTATTAAATATATTGATTCTGAATAAAATTTCCTTTTTCTGGATTTTCTAGAGTGAGATGTATCATGAGTACTATTTTGAATGCTCCAACAATAATCAGCCATCATATGTTCGTTCCAGTACCCCTGATACCTGTTCTCCATAGAGCGAATATCCTTTTGAAAGCGCTCTCCTTGTTCCTCGCTTAGGTCACTTAGATTTTCAGGAAAATAGTCTAGATGGTTGTGAAGATAGTGAAGCTTAATACTCATGTTGCATCCAAGCCGCTGGAAGTGTATCAGCAACTGTTCAGCGTGCTGAATGTAGCCGTTAGGCTTAGTATTCTCAAAAAATTTCTCACTACTCAAACAAACTCTTCCCATGCACATTTCTCAATAGCTGTCATATGGTTGATGAAATTTTTATCATCTATCAACTTTTAGACAGGCCAAGGTCCCTGATCAAGTCAGTTAGATCCTCTTTATTTAGTGATCGGGGACTACTGTCTCTACCACTGTCGGCGTTTCGGTTTGTCCGCTGCACTGGTCTGGATTTCCGAAGATCTACAAGGCTGCTGTGGTGTTGATGTGTCACTAATACTCAAGACTGGTCTTACGACAGATTTTTAGTTTGAATATATCCACTTAGAACAATTTTTATGGTTTATTCCTATGATTTTCGTTACACAAAAATAAAAGTCGTTATGATGTTTGGGTGGTTCACGCCATATCATGGGAGATTTGTACTTAAAATTTGGTCTTTTTTTGTTTGCCTATAATTGCAAAGATTCAATACAACTTTTACACACCAAAATTGGTATCAAAGGTTTAGCGTTTGATGGCAACGGAAACTCAAAGTAGTCGAAGTATGCCCTTTTTACAAAGTCTGACACACTTAAACGACATTTTTGGAACATATATTATCCGCAAATAGCACAAAAACACTCAGGATTATTTAAAAACCTCCTTCTTGAGGAAGACATAATGAAATTTATAAAGGGACTAGTTAAGTTACACCGCTATTGGTAGAAACTATTGACAACTTATGTAAATTCAAGACGGACCTGTATCTGACTAACTAGAGCTGCTACAAAAAATCTGAGGTCAGATTTAAAATTAGCGCACCCAAATTAGTAAACAACAGTAGAAAAACTTCATGCAACAAAAAAAAAGTTTGATTTTGTTGTGCTGTGTAATTTAATGCATAAAGTTCCAGAGAAAATTAAAGCAGTTTTCGTTTAACTAAAACTTGTTTCTGTTTTTGATGATGTCAATTATAATCAATTGTTGGTTTTAGTAAATATACATCGTTTAACTCCAATATTGCTATCAAAACTTAATGATGATTAAGAATGATAAAATGTACTTACTTTTCTGTTTCCTATGTACTCGTATGAGATGAACATTATTTTTAGTATTTAAAAATCATTTCATAATTAGAAATCCCGAAATATGTTTGTATTGATTTTAAAATCTTCCTAATTTGAAATCTGTCTGATCTCAGTAAATAAATTTAGGTTTAAAAATAAAGGATATAAGACAAAGTTAAGACTAATGAAGTGGAAGGAGCAATGAGCCATATCCTTCCACATGAATGGTACAATTTAAAATGAACTAAAACTGCTTGTGGTAAGGTACATAATTGTAAATGACTATCAAGACAACTAAGAGCTGAGATTTTAACGCCACTCTTCATTCTCTATGACATTGATTTAAACATGCTTTATTCGATTAAGTAATACAACAACAGGTTCTAGAGTTGTTTTGTATTCTGGAAACTGTATGTAGTTATATATATATATATAGAATATAAAATTTTAAGTAAATATGTAATAACTTTGCTCAATTTACGACTTAGATTTGATGTTGTCGTAAAAATATTATCCTGTGATCCATCATTTTCATATCATTAAACAAAATTTGGATGACAAAGCTTTGATAGTAAAAACAAATAAGTATATTAAATATAACTAATATATAGGTTGGGTTTAATGTGAAATCCATTTGACCTCGATATAATAATAGACCAGACGATGAAAAGGTCGGGTCACTTGTTAAAAATGGTACCGCTATACGTCTATTATCATTAGCGGGCTTTAGAATAGAATAATTATGAAACCATTTACTATAATAAAGTTCTACTAGATTTTAAATACTAGTTTTTATGCCACCACGATTGTGGTGTTAATATAGTCTTTATAAAGTACAATTTCATTTAAATATTTATAATAATTTATTAAACTAAAGTTTGTTTTCGTCGTTGTAGAGTTTAAATGTAAAATGTTAGTGATTTAATGTTAATAAATTATGTATGACCATCTTTAGTGCCGATCTGAATTGACACAACGTGTTTATGAGAGCAAAATAATGGATAGTAAAATTATTAATCGACGCTACTACTATACTTTGTGTTTGAGTAGAACGATTTGGTTACGGAAATATTCCTCAATATTTCTCTACAATTGATTTTTTATTATAAAATTACCCGAAAATATACACATTTATATCGCATAACTCAACATTTTATAAAATTATGACCGTATTTTAATTTAAAAAGAATGTATCTGATACTGAAATTATAATAATATATGTAGGTACTGTCAAATCATCAAATCTTTTATTAAATAAATAATTTAAATATTCATAATTTGATATTTAGATTCAAATCAAATCTACTTCATAATTGAAGAAGCTTTTAGTTTTGTCACAAAAAATGAAACCTTTGATTGAAAATTATATATATTTCATGATATAAATTTGTATTCAAATGCAATTATTTTTTTTATTATAACACCCAACAATAGATATCAAAGTTTAATAAAAACATATTCGTTTATTTTAAAATATTTTTTATTAATCTCTCTTGCTTCCACATTCCATTTCATTATAACGCGCTGCTTGAATTTTCATAACAATTTTAATTTGGGTTTGAACTTTCAAAGAATCGTGAGATGGAACGGTATTGTCGTTAGAACGTGTAATGACTTCACATTATATTTTTTTCTTTTGAATAATAAATGAAATCCTAAACAAAAGTACGAAGCGGAGACATAACGTTTAACACTAATGGTTGTTCGCTAGTTTATTTCATGTTACAACAGTTGTATTTTAATCACATGAATCCTAAAGTATGTTGTTTATCACCATTTGAATATAAAGTTTCATCGTGATTGTGTTTTTATATCAAAGAAAAACTATTTATTGAAACATCAAACAAGAGAGTAACGAACATAAAAGCCTGATTTATTCACATTTTCTTTGTTAGTTTGTATGTTAAATAATTTTTAAAACCTGTCTTATTCTTAATTGTTATTTAAAATGCAAGTTATTTTTATAGTGTAATTATCACATCAATTCAATAACCACATTTTTTTGATGGTTAATTTATATGACACCCTATAGAGATGCATAATTTAGACTCATCAATTTTTTTTTGGCCGCGATTGCTCTATTGAACTTGTCACTAAAGAAACAAACGTAAAAAATTGACTGTAGCATAAAGAAAGATATAATTTATATATTATCACCTTCCATAGCTGCTGTCTTGTTATTGGCTAGACACGGACTGCCCAGAACCGAGACAGTTGGCTGTGTTAATTAAAACAAAACAGCAACAATTTTGAAGGAAATGAAACAAATCGAGGTTTTCATTAATACTTAAAAAACTTCTTCAAAAAAAAAACTATAGTAAATATGCGACTGTTAACTTGAATATGTTTTGGAAAAGCTTTTACATAACTGAAATTTTGACACTAACGCGCTTTCATATGATAAAACAGTTTTATGTTATCTTAAAATCGTAATGAATTTATTCATTAAACCAAAACATTCAACTAATTCAGTATTTTTAACTGTTCTTTTTACATTGCGTTCACTTCGTGTATGTTTAGAATAATTTAAAATGTAATATTTGTCTGACTAGTACTAGTAAAATCTTATCAAACTTAAGTCCAGTAGTTGATGGAAGCAACTCTTATTTTATTAATTATCTCTTTAACACTTGTTAGTAGGTTAGTAAATTAATTAATTTTTTGTTGGTACTTTTAAATTGTTCGACTCAATTTCAGATACATCAACAATTTCTCAAAGTGATTCTTGTTTGTCATAACTCTAGGAGAATTTTGTAAATACAACGAGAGTTACCAGAATCAACATGTTTACAATAGTGATGTATTTTTTCCGTACAAGAGAGATTATCGATGAAAATAAACAACTACTTTAATATCCCTAAAATAGTTGTGTTCTGGGATTCTATACATACAATTATAAGACCCAATAGTTATAAGAATTAGCAACATTTTAAATTACCATATTATTGTTTAAAAAGTATTCTATTCTTATAGATACTTCTTTTAACAAGAACAGGGATCAAAAGAAATATACGTGTTATTTGACAAAAAGCTTCGATAGTTTAATAGAACATTTCACGCGACCCGCTCTTGAATGAAGCTATTGTGAAGTAAAGAAATGGTTTAGTTCCACTTTTTCAAATATTTATTTACATTGTTTGATCTGTTGAGAAACTGGTGGAGTATGGAAAATACTTAGTATATTGATATTGTATTATCTTTTACTTTATTCAGAATAACATTTTTTCTTGCTAAAAAGTAATTACCTTATTCTTAAGCTTAGGTTTTTGTTATTTTTTTTGAGAAAATGAAACTTTTTTTTTTTTGTTTTTTGACTTACACTAGTGTAATTTAATTAAAGGTAGTAACTTTTCTTTGATGGGTTGTGTTCACATACATACATGTTTTGTCTTAATACCCATTCCATCTTGTTTCGAAAGGAGACAAAGTCAGTTTAA